CATCAACACAATACTAATTCATTAAATGGATTACATAAAGAAAATAAAACATGTACATGTAACATATGTCTAAATGTGTGGCAATAGATTTAGTTGATAAGGAGAAGACCAATGGCAGTAACGATGAGTGTTGAAGGTAAACCAAACTTCAAGTGTTTAGTGAAAGTGAGTGTGTATCCATGGCTCACTGCTCTACGAGCCTGCTCACACACTATCAAGTTAGCCGCTGAACCAAGCAACGTCAAGTTTCCAGCCACCGTACTCACCCACGCCAGTATCAACCACGCTTTCTTCTCTTCCTCCCCAACCGCGGCTGATGCCGCCACTCTTGCTCCCAACAAAAGCACTGCACAAAACAATTGACTCATGTATGGATCAAGAAATTGTCTGAATTTAACAAAACATTGTTTTTTAAGGATGATGAAGTTACCAGTCGGTACATTGGAGGCTACATTGGAGAGGACAAGAATCACAATGGCGAGCACTGCAGTTCCTTTGGCCTGATCGATTTTGGCGTATGGCTCCATTAGATCCCATAGAGCCGTAGGGATACCGGTTTTGTTGAATCCATCAACGGTTATGAACATCCCGCAGAAGAATATCAGAAGCGAATAAGATACCTACCAAGCACAACAAAAATCCATAAAAGTGATTGTTGATTTCTGTGTGTTAAAAGAGTTGGAAAATTTGGTTTTACCTTCTCTAGAGACGGCCTAGCGTCTTTAAAATCAAGAACAACGAGAGCTAGAGCCGCGGTAATTGCAGTCCAAGACATGTTTAAACCCATAAGCAAAGATATTAGCATTCCTAGTGTGATTAAGTAAACACTTGCTTTCCATAAAACTCTTCTCCATTTCTTGGTTTGGAAGAACATATTGTTATTACTAGTACTCTCTCCTTGGGACTCTGCGTCGGTTTGTTCTCTTGACGCATTTGAATAGCGGTTTATGGTTTCGCTCTCACCTGAAGAAACCGCTCTGTTTCTGAGCGTCTCAGGATCCATTCTCAAGTTCAATTCTTCGGATCTAAAAGAGCTGAGATGCGGTAATGTAGCTGGCGAAAACCGATGAGATGTAACATCTTCTTCAACAACAACTTCAGAAACCACATTCTCCTCCTCTTCTTCTTCGTCATCTTTATGATCAGACAATAACCGCCAATACATAGCTAGAAGAAGCAAAGCATTGACAGTAATCCCGACAATCATCGCGGGAAAAACACCGAGAAGAAACTCCCAAAACGGAATCTTGCTTTGAACCGCGATAACAAGATTCTGCGGATTCCCAATGGGAGTAGCGGAGGATCCAATATTCGCGCTCGTAGCTAAAGCGAGCAGAAACGGGTGAGGCGGGAGGTTCTTTTGCCTAGCGATCTTCAACACAAATTCGGTTAAAACAACACAAGATGTATCGTTAGTGAAAAGAGCGCTCGAAACCGCGGAAACAAGACAGACACGACACAGCAAATCTTTAGGTCCTCTGCTTTTCCAAGAGAGCAATGTGCCTAAGTACTTAAACATATCAGCTCTTTCAAGGTAGATACTAACAACCATTGTTCCAAAGAGAAGACCAAGAATCGGAAGATCAATGGCTGCATAAGCTTGTTCAGGGGTTATGACTCGGAAGATAACCATTAGCATTGCACCAAACAGAGAACCAGCGGTTCGACCAATTGGTAAGAATGGTACAGAGGGAAAAACAGCTAAAACCCAGAAAATTGCAAAGGCTAATGAGCCTAGAACCAGCTTTATTACTGGTGCCATTGCCATTTTTAGATCAATGAATCAAAAAAGCATGGATCTTTGTCAAAAACCCTAATTGTGAAATCCAGGATCTAATTAGAGAAACCCTAAGGTCATTTTAATTGCACGATTCCGATTAGAGTCGTCTCTGTTTCAGAACAAGTAAAAGGGCAAATCAATAAGAGGAAATTCGGTTTTCTGAAGGAGTAATCGAAGTAGAAAAGGACTCACCTTTATAGCTTACGACGAACTCCAAGTAACCAAAAAGTTTAGCTTTTTTATTGTTTTTGATTTAGAAAAGTGAAGACACGAAAAGGCTTTTTCTCTGTTGTTGAGTTCGATGTATTCAGATCTTTTCTTTTTTTCAATTTTCATGAAATTAATTAACGATGATTGACTCGTATTTGGATTAAAAAAAAGTGTTTATGTCTTTCAAGACAACCAAACTGTCGTGTTAAACTATTCTTAAAGAGTCAACTTTTTCGTTGATTGATTAAGAACCCAACACGATTATGTAAATAATTAACAAATCCTAATTGACTTTTAACGTATTCAAAACCCATTTTAAAACTTTCTTTTTTATTTCACTACAAACAAAATCAATTCAGTTCAATGACAAAGCAAAATCTTTCAATATACTATCAGAGACAGAGTTGCTATTACAAAAGCTCAAAACCTATACAAATTTCAAAAGTTCTCGGTGCAAATCTCAATCTCTCTGCTTCTTTACAATTTTTTTACAAGAGCAGTGGTAATGAATAATCAAAACTTTAGCTACAGAGCATTTTAACCGGAGAGAATTGTACGGTGAGACAAGCATGATCGGAGAGACTGTAATTCTCCGGCCACAATCCTTTCTCTGCTTCTTGCGGAAACAAAACCGCTTTATTCACTTTCAGTCCAATCG